GAGGTATACATTCTTGGCAGAGGTCTTGTTTTCTTCGTATTCATAACACTTAAATCGTATTTTTTACTTAATAATTGAGAAAAAGTTATGATGTCTCTTTTGCGTTTCTGGTGATTTTTTTTACAAGTCTGGTGATCTTTTTACGTTTCTGGTGATTTTGTTTACGTTTCTGGTGATTTTTGTTTTACAAGTCTGGTGATTTTTTTTTTTTCGTTTCTGGTGATTTTTTTACTTCTCTGATGATTTTTTCGTTTTAGTGATTTATTTTGCGTTTCTGGTGCTTTTAACATTACTGGTGCTTTTTTAACGTGTGATTGAACTAGTCTAGTAAATAACCTTCAAACCCACTGTGATTTACATGGAATAAGAAATAAACAAAGAATTATATCACTTTATTCCATATATTGTATAATTTTTTTTCAGTGTCCTCCCTTAAATTCCAGATTATAGGCCTATTGATGTATATATTTCACACGTATAAATATAATAAGATAAGATTAAGATAAAAGGAGTTTAATGAAGGGTGAGAAAAAATAGTGAAGAGGGATTAAGGAAGATAAAGGAAGATAATTATTAAAAGTATAAGAAGGAAAACAGAGAGCAGGGTAAAAATTTGTATAGGAAAGAATAAGGATAATAAAGATGGAATTGAAGAAGAAAAAAAAATATGTTGAGTCTTAACTGTTGGGTTATTTCTTTCTGCTTTAGAGTGTGTGTTAACGGGAGAAGAATAAGGAGAAGGATAATCAAGAAGAGAGAGAGAGAGGGAGGAGGAGGGAAAGAGAGAGAGAGAAAGAGAGAGAGAGAGACTTCTAAAAAAAAATACGGATGTTATCATGGGTAAACTCCAAGCCAAGTTTGTCTTATGGGGAATGTTCATCGTCTCACATTCTTTTACTACTGCGAATCTTGCTCTTGCTTTGAAGTGTAGGAGGGAGATAAAAGAAGGAGGAGGAGAAAAGAGAGTAAAAGAGGGAACAGGGCTGCAATACGGACTTGTGAAAAAGAAATGAAAGAGCCATAACTACTGGCGTCTTTCTTGTGCTTTGAAGTGCGTGCCAGCGCCATGTGACTGTGAGCAGCCTCCACTACGCGGCTTCCAGGATGTAAAGACCGCCGCGGTCGCCATAAAACTTAGGGATGGACGCTCTTAAAGGCGCCCTGGTGACCTCTTTAACCGGAGGACTCCTCGACAACTGCGGATGGACGCTTTCATGTCGGCCACCTCCGCCTCTGTAACTGGAGGACGCAAGAGTCGAGGGGAGATGGGCGGGGAGCGACAGATTCTTGGTGACTCCTACGTTTATTTTTCCTACAACGGATAAAGTGAGAAAGAATCTAACCGACTCACATAAATATTGACTCAAACCTAAATGGCATCAAAATTAAACTGATATTGTTTCATATCTACTGGAGGTATGTTCTTTCATCCCTAGATAACTAACATACAAAGCTTGGCGAGTCCATATATATACCTTGGCGTCTACAAT